GAGTACTCAATACCCAGGAGCGTATCCAATGACCTAGTAGGAGCCCTCTCAGGGACACAAAGGAAGCCAGGCTTGTCCATTAGATCTTAAAGGGCTCACCAAGTTCCTGGAGATAGTCTACTTATCCTGAGACCAGAGGGCATCTGGTTGTGCTGGAGTGCCTGGTAACAGACTTGCCACCTCACACCCAAATGCATACTCAAAAGCTGCTATTGAAACACCTACATATCCCCATGGATAACTATACCATAAGAAGTCGACTCAAAATGCATCACTGATCAAAACAAAAAATCAGAAAACATTAGGGCACTGGTGGCTCACACCTGCAATCCTAGCTATTCAAAAGGCTGAGATTTTGGAATTGTGTTTCAAAGTCAGCCTGGGCAGGAAAGTCCATGAGATTTATATCTCCAATTAACCACCAGAAATCCAGAAGTGGCACTGTGGCTCACATCAAAGAAAGCTAGTCCTGAGCAAAAGAGCTCAGGGACAGTGCCCAGACCCTTAATTCAAGCCCAAGGCTGACAAAAAAAATGAAAAAAATTGAAAATGCCAATATTCATAGAAGTAAATGTAACAGAAAATATGTTCTTTAGAGAATATGGTTTCAGGAATGACACAAGAATTTACAAACCATGAGTTAAATAAAAGAAAACACATTTGATCTTTATAGAAGTATGGTAAGTTTCTAAACTTTATTTTGCCTATAATCAGACTTTGTATTTTTCTGTTTTCATGCTGATATTCACATCCAGATAAATTTTGAGATTTAGCGTAACAATCCATACAAACGATGCTATCATAGTTTTAAACATAACTACAATGAACATGTTAGGTGATGCATTTTATAACCAAAACACAATCTGGTGGTACACCTGAAGTCACCAAGTCCTTGAGTAGTAACTGATCCCAAGTTCAAATCCTGTCCACTGAACAAAACAAAATATTTATTGCATTTGGTTGATCTGAGTGTGTCATTTCAGTTTTTCTTCAGTTGTTACTTCCTTACAAAGAAGTTAAACAAGCGCCATTAACATTGATTTATATAGAAAAAAAACTTATTATAAAATCCATAACCAACCAACAACCTACAACTTTGTTTAATATTTTCTGTATAACCTCATCAAGTAGGCATATAGTATTATTGTACTCTTCAGGGAAAGCAGTTAGCAAAATAAAGCATTTGATTATTATATCTTCAATGAAATAAAGAATCCTTAGTTGGCTCAATCTCTCAATGTTTCTAATGCTTCCCAAAAGCACTACTCTGGGAAATAAAACTGCCCACATTATGGTACTGAGGATTTGCATAAGATTCAGATTTTTTAAAGATTTAATAATCTTAACCTATTGCTGTGAATGCTCTTTGAAATTAGTATATATAAAGTGTTGAACTAAATTTTTAAGAAACTCTGCTTTATGTAAAACAATATAAGCTCTCAGTTGCAAGTTGAATGTAATTTTATTTAGATAAATCATCATGAGCCTCTTAATTTTGTACAAGTTTAAATTTTAATGTCTATACACATTTAGATAGGGATAAATTCATATACGTCAGACAAAATCAATTAAGGTAATATTGGTTATTGTTGCTACAACTTCTAAAAATATATTAAAAGACTTCACTAAAAATTGTTTTACTACCAAGCACTCTCTTCAAAGCCCCCTTAATCTCATTATTCCTAAGGCTGTAGATCAGAGGGTTCAACATAGGGATCATCACCATGTAGAACACAGATACCACCTTGTTCTGGTCAGTGGAGTAACTGGACTTAGGCATCACATAGATGAATGTAATGGTTCCATAGAACAGAGTGACCGCAGTGAGGTGGGAGGTGCAAGTGGAGAAAGCCTTGTGGCGGCCCTCAGTGGAGCGCATCTTCAGGATGGTGATGAGGATGTAGATATAGGAAATGGCTATGATAATCACTGTGATCACAATGATGGAGCCAGCAGTAAATGAGGGAACAACTGTGAGGATGCTGTCTGCTGAACAAGATACTTCAACTAAAGGAGCAAAATCACAGAAGAAATGATTGACTCTGTTGCACCCACAGAAAAATAAACCAAAGAAGGAAAGGGTAAAAGAGGAAGCATTCAGAAAACCTCCTGTGTAAGCGACTGCAAGTAACTGCGCACAGACTTGTGTGGACATTTTGGTTGAATACAGCAGTGGATTGCAGATGGCCATAAAGCGATCATAGGCCATGGCAGCTAAAACAAAGCATTCAACTGTCCCAAAGAAAACAGCTGACCCAAGCTGGATGCCACATCCTACATAGGAGATTGTATTTCTCTCCACCAAAAAGTTAACCAGCATATTCGGTGTAACAGAAGATGAGTAGCCTAAGTCAGCAAAAGCTAAATGGCTGAGGAAAAAGTACATGGGGTGGTGGAGCTGAGTGGAGACTCTGATGAGAAGGATTGTGCAGAGATTTCCAGGTACAGTTACCAGGTAGATGCACAGGATGATGATGAAGAGGATGACTCGAAGGACTGGATCATGTGTTAAGCCCAATAAAATGAACTCTGTCACTGCAGTGTGGTTCCCATCCACCAGGGAATCCATCAGACAATGGAGCTGCTGCCAAATAAACCTGTAATTTAAAAAAATTGCAGGAATATATATATATATATATATGATTACATTTATTTAATAAATGTGGAATATCATTTTAAATAGTAATATTCAATAACCACTGCATATTTTCATGCAATGATGAGTATATATGTCAATTTATGTTTGATCTTAGCAAAAGACCTGAAAATTTTCTTTATGCTATTTTTATATTTGTACTTTTGAATACTATTTGTCATGTGGCTTTAAGGACACATGATAGAAAATGTAAGACAATGAAATAACAGCAATGAATATTGAGTGTAATGGATGAACAACACGCATATTGTCTTGGTGTATTACTCTAGTAGTAACCAATATTTATATATGTACATCCTAAATGATAGCTGAACAGATAAAATTGTTTATACGTACAAATATGTTCTTTTGCTGTTTTTCGTTAAGCAACATTTTTCCATTATCAATGTAGAATTGAGTAAACAAAATCTGAAGGAAAATATGGGATTTTCACAGTTATTAAGTAAAATTTTTAAGTCAGAAATCTCAAGCTGTGATTTTCTTTAGTAGCTATGGAATAATGATATGAAGTTACAAGAATCAAAAATACAGTGAAAGCAGTTGTTATACTGTGTGGGAGGAACATACAAAGAAACAAAAAAAAATCACATGGTACATTATAAATACATTAGAAACATTAGCAAGTAAGAAAAAACCACTTATGTCCCTATCTTGGGGTGCATATTGCTCAATATCAACTTATCTGGTCATATGTACATAGCTTTTGACCTTTTCTGCTTGTCCCAGACAATTAGTTATTTGCAATAACTAATATATGGGACCTATAGGAAACCATGGGACCTATGTTTCTTTGGGCCTGTCTTACTTCACTTAATATAATTTTTTTCCAAATCTGTCCATTTCCTAACAAACAGGGCAATGTCATTCTTTCTGATGGAGGCATTTATTCCATTGTGTGTGTGTGTGTGTGTGTGTGTGTGTGTGTGTGTGTGTATACCACCTTTTCTTGATCTACTCATCTACTCTAATTTGGGGATTAGAAGGGAAAAATACTTAAATAGGGATACAGGTTGACCCATTGTAACAATGAGATGTACAGGACACTATGTTGAAAAATGAACTTTACAATTTAGGTGGGAGGAGAGTGTAGTTGTGGAGGTGGGAGGGAAGGATGATAGGGGAAAAACAAAGGAGGAGGCAACAATGTTTGATAGGAAACGTACTCATTACCTTGCTCATGTAACTGTAACCTCTCTGTACACTATTTTTACAATAAAAAGTATTAAAAGAAAAAGAATTAAAAAGTTCAACACACCCAAGATTGAGTATCTAACAAATTCTTTTTTAATTTTGTGAAATGTTTATTATTGTAGTCCTTTTTATAAACCAGATAGGTTTCAACTCATTTTAATAGAATAGTCTGAAAGACCTATCTTATAATAAATAACTTTTGTATTACATATCTTTTGTCTGGCAATACATGAGATGTCTAAACCTAAGCATGGGGGAGTTTTTGTTCTTTATTATCATTAAATAGTTGCCCAAAGGAGTTGTCATTTAACAAAGCAGTTTATGAATTCAATACATCTTGATCAATATCACCCTTTTCAACATTCTTATCCATCTCTCCCAACCCACCCCTTCCCTTGCTTTTCTTAATTTTGTAGATTATGTAGAAAAGCAAGGGAAGGGGTGGATTGGGAGAGATGGATAAGAATGTTGAAAAGGGTGATATTGAGCATTTTGTAGATTATACATTGAATTCTTGAGTGCATTCTCCCCTCCTTTTCTCCTTCCTTCATCTGCCACTGACAGATTTCTTTGGCCTTGGCAAAGTTAATGTGTAATACCATCATCAGGTTGTTCTATTCTTCAATATACTTACCAACTTAATTAATCCTAACACTTTGGTGATGTTTTAAATATATTACTGATACTATAACTAGACAGGAATTCTAAATTAGTATTATAAATGAAGTTTATGATGTTTCAATTTATAAGCTGTTCTAGTCTTGTATATTTGAAGCAAAATATTCTTCTAGAATATAATTTCAAATTGAGATTCAGTAACTATGAGAAAAGTATACGATACCAAGTCCAAATGTACAAAGTAAAGTTATTTTAAACTATTTTTTTTAGCAATTTCCGATCTTCATTTCCAAAGTTTTCATTTCATTTCAAGGTTCTTCTTTTCCAAATTTTGAGTGTGTATACTAAAGTTTTCATAAATCTCATTTTATTCTCAAAATTCACACATAAACATTGAAAGTATTTCTGCAAAAGAGCATTTCAGTAGAGTGCCAAGTTTGGACAGTGTAATATGATCATGTGAGTTCCTGTCATAGGATTAAATAAATAAGGTTTCTGATCATGGATAATGACCATTTACGCATGTGGAAGTGATGATGCAAGCAGAACAAGTCAACCTAGATATCTCACCTCCTGCTTGCTTGAGTACCTCTGCTCTCTCCGTACGCTGACACAAGAACAGCTTAGAGAGTAAAGCTTTCTCAAATGGTAAACACAAGAAGTCAGACTCATTAACAAAACCCAAAGTCTTACCTCTGGAAATGATAATTCATTCATCTTTAATAATAACACAAAGCCAAAACAATTATATAAATAGTCTTTTAATTTCTGGTTTGCCCTTGGGGAATAAATCCCTAATGAAACTGGAAATGCAACTTTGAATTCAAAAGCATCCTGCAGCATCATTATGTTCTGGATTGGATACTGGGCAACTCAATTCTCACAACACAAAAAAATGTTTTGCCAATTCTCTGGTGTTCAATTTATTCTTGTTTCTATGTCAGTAGATGTTCATAGGTGAACTGTAATCTCATTTAGTATTTAAAGATAGCATAATTAAACAAAATGTTTCATAGAACAATATTATTTCTAGGTTTACTTTGATGTTTATGATGAAGAAATGGTACTGAACCAGGCACTGGTAGCTCATGCCTGTTATCCTAGCTACTCAAGAGGCTTAAATCTGAAGATTACTACTGAAGGTCAGCCTAGGCAAAAAATTCCTTGGGACTCTTATCTCCAATTATCTACCACGAAAATCAAAAGTGTATATGTGCTTCAAGTGAAAGAGTTCTAGACTTGAGCAAAAATCACAATGATAGCACCCGGCCTTGAGTGCAAGCTCCAGAAAGAAAGAGAGAGAAAAAAAGAAAGAGAGAGAGGAAAAAAGCGAGAAACAAAAGAAGAACGAAAAAGAGAAAAAAGTGAGAGAAAAAGAAAGAAGGAAGGAAGGAAGGAAGGAAGGAAGGAAGGAAAGAACGAAGGAAGGAAGGAAGGAAGGATGCAAAGAAGCAAGGACGCAAGGAAGGAAGGAAGCAATATGAAAAAGAGCCTTACTGAATTTCAGGTATAAAATGACAACAGCCACTTTAACTAGTATGTGTTCACTGCTAAGTAGTTTATATTGATATATGCAATGTATAGCATTAAATATTGTGGAGACACAGCATAGACATCATGTAAATCAATTTGTAAATATCAAAACAATTTGAGAACTGTATTAGCCTATCAGAATAAATAAGTACCTTAAAATGGTGGAATAGAAGACACATGAAAAGAAACTTTAGTGAAATCCACAAGAGAAATAATGTCTTTTATCATGTCTCTTTTATCATCTGTCTCTCTACGTATTCCAAGACTTTGTATCTTCTTGGCATCTAAAAGGAAAAGGAAAATGTTCCCTTTTCTGGATGTTTCTCTCTTCTTTAGATGTGAAAAGATCTCAAAGAAGAAGAAAAGATGATAGGAAAACATACTGTTTCAACGTTTTTTTCGTGGGTCTGTTTAAATAGTTCATATAATTTCTCAGATGTTTCCTCTGTCTATACTACCTCAGTCCAAATTGTAGTAACAGAACATTGTTCTTATTAATGTTCTTAATTCTATCATCAACCTGGTGGTTATGGTCCCCTTGAATATAAGGGAAACACTCACAGACTAGGCCAAGACAGCTCTCAAAAGAAGATGGCTCTGTATGCAAGCAGCTGGCTCTCAATGAGGGATGGGAATGTGACTCTTTTCCTCCTGAAGAATCCAGGAAAGACCTTATAAGATCCACCTGATTCGTTGTTGAAGACACTTACCAGTACTGCTACATTAAATCTATTGACATTGAGCTTCTTTCTCCTACTGCTGGATTTCCTTCTTCTTTATTAATCTGTGTGCTGTTAACA